TGATTTTTGTGCATTGATTTTATACCCTGCTACTTTGCCAAAATCTTCTATGAGTTCCAATAGTCTCTTAGTAGAGTTCTTTGGGTCCCCTAAATAAAGAATCATGTCATCTGCAAAGAGGGATAGTTTGAGTTCTTCCTTCCCAATTTGTATCCCTTTAATTTCTTTTTCTTGCCTAATAGCTCTGGCTAGAACCTCCAGAACTATATTGAATAGCAGTGGTGAGAGTGGACATCCCTGTCTGGTACCAGATCTCAGTGGAAATGCTTCCAACTTTTCCCCATTCAATAGGATGTTGGCTCTGGGTTTTTCATAGATTGCTTTGATTATATTGAGGAATGTTCCTTCTATACCCAATTTGCTTAGAGTTTTCAGCATGAACGGGTGTTGTATTTTATGAAATGCTTTCTCGGCATCTATTGAGATAATTATATGGTTTTTCTTCTGCAGTCTGTTAATGTGGTGTATCACATTGATTGTCTTGCGCACATTAAACCATCCCTGCATACCAGGGATAAATCCCACTTGGTCTGGGTGGATGATCTTTCTGATGTGTTGTTGCATTCTATTGGCGAGAATTTTATTGAGGATTTTTGCATCTATGTTCATCAGGGATATTGGTCTGTAATTCTCTTTCAGTGCTGCATCTTTTTCCAGATTAGGAATTAAGGTGATGCTGGCTTCATAGAAAGAATTTGGGAGGATTCCCTCTTCTTCGATTGTTCTGAATAGTTTGAGAAGAATTGGAGTTAGTTCTTCTTTAAATGTCTGGTAGAATTCAGCAGTGAATCCATCTGGTCCTGGGCTTTTCTTTGTTGGGAGGGCCTTTATTACTGTTTCAATTTCTGTCTCAGTTATGGGTCTGTTTAGGTTTTCGATGTCTTCCTGTTTCAATTTAGGTAGGTTGCATGTGTCCAGGAATCTATCCATTTCTGATAGGTTTCCCTGTGTGCTGGCATACAAGTCCTTGTAGTAATTTCTGATGATTCTTTTTATTTCTGTGGTGTCTGTTGTTACGTTTCCTTTTTCATCTCTGATTTTATTGATTTGGGTCTTTTCTCTTCTTTTTTTAGTTAGTTGGGCCAATGGGGTGTCAATTTTGTTTATTTTTTCAAAAAACCAGCTCCTCGTTTGGCTGATTTTTTGTAATGTTTTTCTTGATTCAATCCTGTTGATTTCTTCTCTGATTTTAATTATTTCTCTTCTCCTACTAGATTTGGGTCTGGTTTGCTGTAGGTTTTCTAGATCCTTGAGGTGAATTGAAAGCTCATCTATTTGGTGCCTTTCCAATTTCTTGATGTAGGCACCTATTGATATAAACTTTCCTCTTAACACTGCTTTTGCTGCTTCCCATAAGTTTTGGTATGTTGTGCTGTTATCCTCATTTACTTCCAGAAAGTTTTTGATTTCTCTTTTGATTTCTTCTATGACCCATTGTTCATTCAGGAGCATGTTGTTCAATCTCCATGTGTTTGCGTATGCTCTAGGGATTCCTGAATTGCTAATTTCCAACTTCATTCCTTTATGGTCTGAGAAGCTGCATGGTATGATTCTAATTCTTTTGAATTTGCTGAGACTTGCTTTATGGCCTAGTATGTGGTCAATCCTAGAGAAGGTTCCATGTACTGCTGAGAAGAATGTAAAATCTTTAGCTGTAGGATGGAAAGTTCTGTATATATCTGTTAGATCCATTTGGGCTATAGTGTCGTTTAAATCTACTGTATCCTTGATGATCTTCTGTCCTATTGATCTGTCTATTTCTGAGAGTGGAGTATTGAAGTCCCCCAGTACTATTGTATTGGGGTCTAAGTCTCCCTTTAAGTCCGTTAACAAATCTTTTAGATAAACCAGTGCCCTGTAGTTAGGTGCATATACATTGATAATTGTTATATCTTCCTGTTGAATTGATCCCTTAATCATTATGTAGTGTCCCTCTTTGTCTCTCTTAACGGTTTTTGTGGTAAAGTTTATGTTGTCTGAAATTAAGATGCCTACGCCCGCTCTTTTTTCATTTCTGTTGGCATGGTATATCTTTTTCCAGCCTTTCACTTTCAGTCTGTATGGATCTTTGTTGGAAACATGTGTTTCTTGTAAGCAGCAAATAGATGGGTTTTGTTCCTTAACCCAATCAGCCAATCGGTGTCTTTTAACTGGACAGTTCAGGCCATTCACGTTCAATGTGACTAATGATAAGTGGTAACTTTGCCCTGCCATTTGCCAAAGATAAGTTCTAATATATGCTTTGAATTCCCTGTGATCTTTTGCTGTTAGCTTTCCTTCCTTGGTTTCCTTCCTTTACCTTCTTTCATATTGATGACCGTGTTTCTTTGTTTCTGTGTGTAACACATCTTTAAGCATCTTTTGCAGGGCTGGACGAGTGGCAACAAATTCTTTCAATTTCTGTTTGCTATGAAAAGTCTTTATTTCACCTTCATTCACAAATGATAGCTTTGCAGGATATAATATTCTGGGCTGGCAGTTTTTCTCTCTTAGTACCTGGGCTATATCTTGCCATTCCCTCCTAGCTTGTAGAGTTTCTGATGAGAAGTCAGCTGTGAGTCTGATTGGAGATCCTCTGAGAGTAATCTGACGTTTCTCTCTTGCACATTTTAGGATCTTTTCTTTATGTTTCACTGTGGAGAGTTTAATTACAACGTGTCGTGGTGAGGATCTCTTTTGGTCGTGTTTATTAGGGGTTCTGTGGGCTTCCTGTACTAGGATTTCTCTGTCCTTCTCCAAACCTGGGAAATTTTCTGCTAATATCTCACTAAAAAGGCCTTCTAATCCTTTCTCCCTCTCCATGCCTTCAGGAACTCCTAGAACCCGAATGTTGGGTTTTTTAATAGTATCCTGAAGATTCCCGACAATATGTTTAAGATTCCTAATTTCCTCTTCTTTTCTTTGGTCTGACTGTATCCTTTCCTGTTCTCTGTCTTCTAAGTCCGATATTCTCTCTCTGCTTCACCCATTCTGTTTGTAAGGCTCTCTATTGTGTTTTTCATTTGATCTATTGAATTCTTCACTTCAGTCACTATCCCAGTTTCCTGTTGTACTAGTTGTTTCGTTTCATTTTGATTCCTCCTTAATATTTCATTTTCACGAGAGAGATTTTCTATCTTGTCCATTAAGGATTTCTGTAGTTCAAGAATTTGTTTTTGAGAACTTCTTAATGTAATGTAAATTTCATTATATACATTTTACCACAATAAAAATGGCAACAAATAATGAAATATATATTCTAACAATAATTTTGATATCATATAATTCTATTCATTTCTGACACTACTTGGAGTTAGCATCAGAGCTGACAATTTCAAGGACAAGGTCCCCAGTAAGTCCCGTTCTGCAGATGCCAGCTGACAGTGGAGTCGTAAGTCTACCCCAGAGTCCTCAGGCTACCTGCTTTTATGTGACTTTGTTACACATTTGGAGGTTCCTATGACACCCCTTCAAGTTTGATCATTTGCTAGAATGATTTATGGAACTCACTGAGTAACTTTACTTACAGTTACAATTTTATTAAAAGAATGCAACTCAGAAACATGGAAGAGATGCATAGGACAAGACTTGGTACAAAGGAGGGGTAGAGAGAAGTAGAGAGGACACAGTATTTCCCAGCCCTCATCTCATGGAAGGCAGTCATGTCATCCTCCCAGCATATCACTGTGCTCACCAACAAGGTAGCTCCTCCCAGCCTTTCTGGCCTGAGTTTTTTTTTTTTTTTTTTTTAATCAAGCTTTCATTACATAGGCATAATTGACTAAAATGTTGGTTTGCAACTGAACTCAGCTTTTCTCCTCTTCCCAGAGACCAGAGGCTAAAATTCCAGTCTCCTAATCAGCCAGCCTCCACCTTGAAACTCTCTAGGTTCCTGCCTCAAAACTTACTGCATTAGCACAACAGATGCCCTTAACTGGAAATTCCAAGGATTTTGGAAGATCTGTGGCAGGAAACCTCCTTCCTTACCCCCAAGACTAGATCTGTTCTCTGTGTATCACAGGTCAATCCCTGGCCTTTAATCACAATATCTTGTGTAGCAAAACCATCATCACCTGAGTATAACAGATACAACATCATTCACAATCTTCCAACATGTGTGACGTATCAGTATTATAATCTTACTAACAATGCCAGTATTAATAACATATTGTGACAGATGTAACCTGAGAATTAGAGTTAAAAGATACTGGAACATTACTAGAGTTCCATCTAGTTTCCAATACGAAGTTCAGGCCACCATCCTATTCTCTGAGAATGAGATCCCTCAAATTTGTAGACTTCATTTATCTGATCTTGTCAGGGGTGGGCTTAACAGTACATTGCTTCTCCTTTTCAGGCAGAACTGAGCCAAGAGACAATATCATCTCTTCCTCTGAGTTTCCTTTGAAGCATTAACAGAACACTGGAATTCCCTCATTGCATAATCTATTTATTCCTTCTTGTACTCTTAGCTATTATTCCTACTTCTCTACATTTATACGAAAACTTTTATAACTTTGGAAGTGACATTAATTTGTCCTTTGTACTGGTCTAAGTTATACACAACAATTGTACTAGTCCAGCAAGAACCACTCTCTTAGTCCCTTCTATATAGGGTAGAATTACATAAAAACAGAGTTAGTGGACTGTTTCTACTTATATGTAATATAACTGTAGTCACTGTTTTTGCCAGATGGGATGTTGTGGTTTGAATGTCCTCTAAAAACTCATGTCAAAATTTAATGGCCACTGCAAAGCCATTGGGAGGTGAGGCCTTTAAAATCTGTTTTAAAGCCCTCATGAATTTGTAATAAAGCTGTTATCACTGGAATGGGTTAATTATAAAATCAAGCTCCCCTGCATGTATTCTCTGGTTTCTGTGTTCTCTCTCTCTCTCTCTCTCACACACACACACACATACACACACAGGCACGCACACACACTTTGATGCTACAGCACGAAAGCCTTCACCAGCTGCTGGTGCCCTGATACAAGACCTCCTAGGTTCCAGAAATATGAAAAATAAAATTATTTTCTTTATAAATTACCCAGTCTATAACAGTCTGTTATTGCTGCAGAAAATGGACTGAGACATGGGGTGAAGTCACAAGTCACCTATCAGGTGTCTGACATAAAGTTTAAAAGTAGAGTTGCAGTTTCTTTCTTAGGAGCCATCTCTGTTTCTAGCACATGCAGTTGTAGCCTTGGTCTTGGAACCACTGCATCAGGTAGGAAAGGGAAAGTTGAAGAACTGTGGGGAAGCGAGAGAAAAGTACAGTCATATCAGCTTCCATCCCCCGTGGAAAGACTGTCACAGGTGTACCAGGCTATACCAGTACCATAGGCTACTCTCCATAGCCCTCTTCCCCAGATCTACGAGAAAAGCACAGGACTCCCCAGTGCAGACACTCCCTCAGGCCACATCATGTTGTCCCTTGCACACACTCAGGAAGGCATGTAAGACAGCCCTTCATGCCTGTTATCTCCTCCCATTTCAAACAACTAATATTTCAAATGTATATTCCAGTTATCTGTCAAACTCTTACTCAAGGAGGATAAGTCACTGCCCATTGTTGGATATTATGGGCTGTAATGTGTGTTCCCTGGTTTGAAGAAATATTTCTAGGTATTCAAAATCAATGCAATATCTTCTCTTTTGGTTCTTTTTTGTTTAAAGATTTACTGGAAAGGCAGAATGACAGAGAGATAGGGAGAGAGAGATCATTCATGTGCTGGTTCACTTCCCAAGTGACTGCGTCAGCCAAAGCCAGGAGTTGGGAATTCCATCTCTGTCTCCCACACTGGTGGCAGGGACTCAAGTACTTGATCCATCATCTGTTGCCTGCTCAGGAAGCACATTAGCAGGAACCTGGATCAGAAGCAAAACAGCCAGGACTCAAACCAGGCACTCCAATAGGGCTACAACGCCTATCCCCTCTTCTGGTACTTTTATATATTCTAAGCATTTACATCTATTCTTGAATACACAAAACCCTGTCCAGAGTGTCTAATCCTATCAGGGACCATGTGTACTCTCCCAGGACTACTGGCATCAATCCAACTTGCCAGCTATGTGTAAGACTTTCCTCCTGAGGATTCTGTCCCATAGCCATCTAGCTGCAGTCTCTGTCTCATTGACAGGACAGTTTTTATTAGTGTTTTTATTGGCATTAGAAGATGCAAGAGAAACATCTATATTCAGCCCATCTCTGTATTGCTACAGCTCCCCAGTGTTACAAACTCAGCTGGTGGTCATGTGGAACACACTGAGATATCTGCTCCTTGATGCCAATCACTTTCTGATGCTGGAAATGAATCCTTCTGATGGGCTATTTTACCAAAACTGACCCAAACCGGCATTCCAGTTGCTATTCTCTGTGGTGTAGGCTTGGGTAATCTTATTCATGCCCATTTGGCAAATCCATGGAATCTGGCTTGAAGGGCAGATTTACATGCCTTCTGTTCTACTACACCAGGTAGGGGAGATATTTCCCAGTCAGGCACAATGTGTGTTCCCATAAAATACTCAAGTAAAGAATCACAATCACTTCACATTAATCTTCTTTAAATATATCACTTTTTGTCAGAATTTTCACCTTAATTCATTAACTCTGGTTTCTATATTATCTCAGTCTATTTATGGCCCCCACTAGGACTTTATCTAGAGATTTTGGTACCACCAAGTCATAGAAACTTCTCTATACTCTATTTCACTCATTCATGTGTAGAAGGCTTTTGGTCCTCCGAGAATGATTGAGTCTAAGGACTCTGGCCCTTTGACAAGCCTTTCCTTGATTAATCTATTGCCTTGGGCAATTCTTGGATGAGTTTGTCATAATCTTTGCTTCTTGATTTTCAAGATTCTTCTAAACTGAGGTAAATACAGCATACTTTGAAGGTATTTTTAACATTGAAGAACGAGCTGGAGATTCCCTTGGTCAACCCAACCATCTACAGTGTTGCATTAAGACCTTGTTTAAACTCCATCAATGTTCATGTTATTAAACCTATCTCTGTGTAACCATGCAAAGATTTCTACCCTGCTAGGATGAGTCTTTTGAGTCTCCCATCTGTTGTCCCTTGCTTTCTTGTTAATTACTTTAATATTCTTCATATTTATAAGTCTCTCATGAGAAAGCAGAGACCACAAGTCCAGTAAGACTTCTCAAACTGTGTTGAATTCTATATTAAGGTTACATGGAGTGAAGAGGGGGTCCCCTTAGTCACAGCATTTACCATGACTTGGGTAACAGGCATATTCTGTAGGTGAATATCCTGCTCTTTATAAGACCACTTCCAGATGATTTGCATACACGGCCTATCAGCTGCTTTGTTTTGGGTGTTCCACTCAGCATTTATAGGACACCTGGTAAGTCCCCTTTTAGGCTAAAAACACTTTTTACAGTGGCATAATCTTTTAGTCAGGCAACCATGCTGACCGTTCCTTCTGGAATAACCTGCTGTGTCTGGATTAGCCACCTGTGATTGTTCCATGGGGAGCTGTGGGTCCTCTATCACACAGACATGTTCTTTGCTATAGCACTGGAAACCAAAGGTACTTTCCCTAAACACTCTCACAGTTCGTTTTTGTAAAGATTCTTTAGGGAGCTGATAGTTGCAATCCACGCAATGAGACAGTTCCTTCATACTATACCTACTGATTTCAATAGTGCCTTGTTTTTACCCTCTCCCTACTTGGAATGTCTTATTGGTGACCAGAAGACTTAAAGGTATTTTCTGTTGTCCTGCATGATTTTCCCTTTTTTGGGGGGGTGGATCAAAACGAGCGGGCATAGCGCAGACTTAAATGTCTGAGCTTGGTTCAAAGTTAACATCCATTCTAGCATTCTCATTTACTCTCATTTTAACTATTATAGATGCCAATAGCCAATGGGTTGTATGTTTACTATATTTCTTATTTTGCATTTCCTTATGTATCCAAATAGGCCATCTCCTCTGGAGTTGGGTCTACCACAGTTTCTAAATTCTACTGATAACTGTTAGTATCAAATTCCACAAGTTAAAGGGCAAGGTGCCCCAACAAGACTGCCCTTATTTCAAATGCTAGCTCCAAGTAGGATTGCAGGCTGCTAGTATTTCTGTCTAACATGGTTACAAATCTGGGGATTCATAAAACTCTTTTTGGGTTTGAGAATTTGCTAGTATGAAAATAAGAAAATTATAACAACAACATTGAAAAGAGGTTTTTGTTTTTTTTTTTTTTTTTTTTTTGATAGGCAGAGTGGACAGTGAGAGAGAGAGACAGAGAGAGAAAGGTCTTCCTTTGCCGTTGGTTCACTCTCCAATGGCCGCCGCGGCCGGTGCACCGCGCTGATCCGATGGCAGGAGCCAGGATCCAGGTGCTTTTCCTGGTCTCCCATGGGGTGCAGGGCCCAAGCACTTGGGCCATCCTCCACTGCACTTCTTGGCCACAGCAGAGAGCTGGCCTTGAAGAAGGGCCACCGGGACAGAATCCGGCGCCCCGACCGGGACTAGAACCCGGTGTGCCGGCGCCGCAAGGCGGAGGATTAGCCTAGTGAGCCGTGGCGCCGGCCGAAAGAGTTTTTAAAATAGAGATGAGAGGCTATTAGAAGAAGGACTTGGGAACTGCCTAGCATGTGAATTTTGGCTGCCTGCACTCCTTTGACTGTAGACATCTGGACCACACCTGAGCAACCGATCATTAAATTGTGTTCAACATGTATCAAGAAGCTCTTGTGGCTGGCGCTGCAGCTCACTAGGCTAATCCTCTGCGTGCGGCACCAGCACCCCAGGTTCTAGTCCTGGTCGGGCACCAGACTCTGTCCAGTTGCTCCTCTTCCAGTCCAGCTCTCTGCTGTGGCCTGGGAGTGCAGTGGAGGATGGCCCAGGTGCTTGGGCCCTACACCCGCATGGAAGACCAGGAGAAGCACCTGGCTCCTGGCTTCGGATAAGCGCAACGCTGGCCGCAGTGCCCCGGCTGTAGCAGCCCCTTGGGGGGTGAACCAACGGAAAAAGGAAGACCTTTCTCTCTGTCTCTCTTACTGTCTAACTCTGCCTGTCAAATAAATAAATAAATAAATAAATAAATAAATAAAATAATAAGAATTGTTTCCGGACATTTCCGTTCTGTTTATACATTCTTTTCTTGTAGCTCCTGTTTCTTCTCAACATTCAATAGGCCGTATAATCTCCCACTTTCCTGCTCTTCTGAAAACACTGATTCAGGAATATCTGAACTTATGGCTCCCACATTGTAATTCCTAAGGCTTCTAAATGAAGCTCTTTTACTTTTACAGTTTCTGAGTCTGAATTCATGGGCACTGGAATGACACAGAACTAATGGGAATGCTATACATACCTACATTTATACATACATACAAACATATAATAAAGGATGCAACGCAGGAACAATCACATCTAAGAAATGTGTTGAGCAAGGTTTGGAAGTGGGGCAGGCTATGAGATGAGTTAGGGCTTCTGCGCCTCTCAGTGGAATCTGGTGTGTCTTCCTCCCAGCACATCCACATTTCCATCAACCAGGAAGCTCCTCTCAGCCTGTGTCCCATACTGGCTGTTCTTTTTTTTTTTTTTTTTTTTTTTATCTTTTATTTAATGAATATAAATTTCCAAAGTACGACTCATGGGTTACAATGGCTTCCCCCCCCATACCGTCCCTCCCACCAACAACCCTCCCCTTTCCCACTCCCTCTCCCCTTCCATTCACATCAAGATTCATTTTCGATTATCTTAATATACAGAAGATCAGCTTAGTATACCTTAAGTAAGTATTTCAACAGTTTGCTCCCACACAGAAACATAAAGTGAAAAATAATAGATGATTTTTTTTAAATGATGATGAAATCAGATCAGACCTATTGTCATGTTTAATCCCAGTGAGAGTCAAGTTGGGAATTGAAAATTTCTTTCTTTTTTTTTTTTTTTTTTTACAGAAGATCAGTTTAGTATACATTAAGTAAAGATTTCAGTCGTTTGCACCCCCATAGAAACACAAAGTGAAATATACTGTTTGAGTACTCGTTATAGCATTAAGCCTCAGTGTACAGCACGTTAAGGACTGAGATCCTACATGAGGAGTAAGTGCACAGTGACTCCTGTTGTTGACTTTACCAATTGACACTCCTGTTTATGGCATCAGTAATCTCCCTATGCACCAGTTATGAGTTTCCAAGGCTATGGAAGCCCCTTGAGTTCTCCGACTCTTATCTTGTTTAGACACGGTCATAGTCAAAGTGGAGGTTCTCTCCTCCC